GGGATTTTGGGGAGGATTTCAGAACGTTTTGAGGGATTTTGGGGCGTTTTATTGGGGCTCAGTGGCTTTTTGGGGGGATTTAGGGGCGATTTGGGGCATTTCGGGGGGATTTGGGGAAATAGGGGCATTTTGGGGGGGATTTAGGAGCATTTTATTGGGATTTACGGGGATTTTGGGGCGTTTTGGGGAGGATTTCAGAACGTTTTGAGGGATTTTGGGGCGTTTTATTTGGGCTCAGTGGCTTTTTGGAGGGATTTAGGGGGGATTTGGGGCATTTTGGGGGGATTAGGGGAGGTTTAGGGGCGTTTTGGGGGGATTTAGAAGCATTTTATTGGGATTTACGGGGATTTTGGGGGGATGTTGGGGCGTTTTGGGGAGGATTTTAGAACGTTTTGAGGGATTTTGGGGCATTTTATTGGGGCTCAGTGGCTTTTTTGGGGGGATTTAGGGGCAATTTGGGGCATTTCGGGGGGATTTGGGGAAATAGGGGCGTTATGGGTGGGGATTTAGGGGCATTTTATTGGGATTTACGGGGATTTTGGGGGGATTTTGGGGTGTTTTGGGGAGGATTTCAGAACGTTTTGAGGGATTTGGGGGCGTTCTATTGGGGCTCAGTGGCTTTTTGGGGGGATTTAGGGGCGATTTGGGGCATTTCGGGAGGTTTAGGGGAGTTTTGGGGGGATTTAGGAGCATTTTATTGGGATTTACGGGGATTTTGGGGGGATTTTGGGGTGCTTGGGGAGGATTTCAGAACGTTTTGAGGGATTTTGGGGCGTTTTATTTGGGCTCAGCGGCTTTTTGGAGGGATTTAGGGGCAATTTGGGGCATTTCGGGGGGAGCTGGGGAGGTTTAGGGGCGTTTTGGGGGGATTTAGGGCATTTTATTGGGATTTATGGGGATTTTGGGGTGTTTTGGGGGGGGATTTCAGAACATTTTGAGGGATTTGGGGGCGTATTATTGGGGCTTAGTGGCTTTTTGGGGGGATTTAGGGGCGATTTGGGGCATTTCGGGGGGATTTGGGGAGGTTTAGGGGCGTTTTGGGGGGATTTAGGGGCATTTTATTGGGATTTACGGGGATTTATGGGGATTTTGGGGTGCTTGGGGGGGATTTCAGAACATTTTGAGGGATTTTGGGGTGTTTTATTGGGGCTCAGTGGCTTTTTGGAGGGATTTAGGGGCGTTTTGGAGAGATTTTGGGATTTAGGGGCATTTTGGGGGGAGTTACGGATGTTTTGGGGGGATTTAAGAACATTTTGGGGGATTTAGGGGCATTTTGGGGAGGTTTAGGGGCATTGGGGGGAGTTAGGGGCTTTTTTGGGGGGATTCAGGGGCATTTTTGGGGGTGTTTTATTGGGGGTTAGTGCTGTTTTTGGGGGGTTTAGGGGCGTTTTGGGGGGATTTAGGGTACTTGGAGGGTTTTTGAGGGATTTAGGGTCATTTAATGGGTTTAAGGCGTTTTTTGTGTTGTTTTATGGTCATTTTTATGGGTTTAAGGTGTTTTTTTGGGGGTTTTAGGTTCATTTTAGTGGGTTTAAGGTGTTTTTGGGGGGATTTAGGTTCATTTTTGTGGCTTTAAGGTGGTTTTTGTTTTAGGATCATTTTAGTGGGTTTAGAGTGGGGTTTGAGTCTTTTTAGGATCATTTTTGTGGCTTTAAGGTGGTTTTTGAGTTGTTTTAGGGTCATTTTTGTGGCTTTAAGGTGGTTTTTGAGTCGTTTTAGGGTCATTTTTGTAGCTTTAAGGTGGTTTTTGAGTTGTTTTAGGGTCATTTTTGTGGCTTTAAGATGGTTTTTTAGTTGTTTTAGGGTCATTTTTGTAGCTTTAAGGTGGTTTTTGAGTTGTTTGAGGGTCATTTTTGTGGCTTTAAGGTGGTTTTTGGGTTGTTTTAGGGTCATTTTTGTGGCTTTAAGGTGGTTTTTGGGTTGTTTTAGGTTCATTTTTATAGGCTTAAGCTGTTTTTTGTGTCGTTTAATGGTCATTTTCACGTGTTTTAGGAGATTCAGAATAATTTAGGTGCCCGTGATCATTTTGTGGGATAATTTAGACTTAAATTAAATGGAATTTCGTGGTTTTCCCCCCTGCCAGGCCTGAACGACTGGGAGGACGACGAGATCCTGGCGTCGGTGCTGGCGGTGTCGCAGCAGGAGTACCTGGAGACCATGAAAACCTCGCGCCACAGAGACCCCACCACCGACAAAAGTTGATATTGAACCCCCGGACTGCGGCCCCCCGAAACCCCCACCCCCTCCGGAGACCCTCCCCCCACCCAAAAAAAAAACCACAACAAAAAAAAACCAACAAACCAAACCACGGCCGAACCCCCCCTCCCCCAAAACCACCCCCACACCCCCAAAAATCCACCAAAGGGACCCCACCAAGGGGGGGCTCGTTTTGGGGGTGACGCCAAAGCCCCCCCTCGGCCAAGATGGGGGAGGGGGACACAGCGCTGGACGCCGCGGATGAACCTCGGCTGTTTTTGGGGAGGGGGCGCGGGGAGAGAAGAAGATGAAGATGATGATGATGATGAAGGAGAAGAAGACCCCTCCTCAAAATTCCAGCTGGGGGAATGGTGGGGGAGGGGCTGCTGGTTTTTGGTAGGGTCTCCTCTGTCTTCCCCTCCCCCCACCGTGGGAGTTTGCTGTGTGGGGGATGGGAAAGGAGGGGGGGGAAAAGGGGGGGGAGGGGTCCTCACTCTGCCCCTCCCCCACCCCCCGAGTGTCGAGCCCCCCACCAGCACCTGGGGGGAGAGGGGGGCAATGGGGGGCCGGGGGTGCTGCCCCCCACGCCCCCTGCACCCCCGAATTAAACTGATGCCCAGCAGCCCCCGGCCCCGTCTGTTCGTGGGGGGCTCGGCCCCCTCCCCCGGACAGGCCGGACCCTTCGGGGAGCCCTGGGAAAGGAAGGGGGGGTGGGATTTGCGGTTTTTGGGGGGTCCCGCCGCGATTTTGGGGAGGCCGGGCCTGGTTTTGGGGCCCTCCGTGTTTACCCGCGGTTGCCATGGTGATGCGGCAGCCAATCAGCGCTGAGGGCGGGAAAGGGGCGGTGTCACTTCGGGCGCGTCGGGAAGGGGGAAGCGCAGCGCTGCCTGACCCAAGCGATATCGGCGCGGCTTTGAGGGATGTCGGGGCTTGGCGGATGCTGTCGCGATACAGGAAATATCATGATAACCGCGGCGGGGCGCTTGGGTCTCGTTCTGTCGCGACAAAGCGGCGCGGGAACTCCCGTTGGCGTCGCGCTAGGCCGCGTTTCCATGGCGACATCGGGGCGTGGTCGAGGGGCGTGGTCGAGGCCTCATGGCGGCTTTTTATTGGTCGGTGGGCGGGGCTAAGGGGTTTCCCCGCCCCTTTCCCCGGCCGCCAGCGGGCGCCACGCGCGGAGCGGCGCGAGCGTGGGGATGGAGCTGCGCGCGGGGCCCGGTAAAAGTGGGGATTGGGAGGGAAATGGGGTTTGTGAGGGGAAAATGGGGTTTGTGAGGGGAAAAATGGGGTTTGTGAGGGGAAAATGGGGTTTGAGAGGGGAGAAATGGGGTTTGAGAGGGTAAAAATGGGAATTGTGAGGGTAAAAGTGGGGATTGGGAGGGGAAAATGGGGTTTGTGAGGGGAAAATGGGGTTTGTGAGGGGAAAATGGGGTTTGTGAGGGGAAAAATGGGGTTTGTGAGGGGAGAAATGGGGTTTGTGAGGGGAGAAATGGGGTTTGTGAGGGAAAAAGTGGGAATTGTGAGGGGAAAATGGGGTTTGTGAGGGGAAAATGGGGATTGTGAAGGGGAAAAGTGCGTTTGTGAGGGGGAAAATGGGGTTTGTGAGGGGGAAAATGGGGTTTGTGAGGGGGCAAATGGGGTTTGTGAGGGGAAAATGGGAATTGTGAAGGGGAAAAGTGCGTTTGTGAGGGGGAAAATGGGGTTTGTGAGGGGGAAAATGGGGTTTGTGAGGGGGCAATTGGGTTTGTGAGGGGAAAATGGGGTTTGAGAGGGGAAAATGGGGTTTGAGAGGGGAGAAATGGGGTTTGTGAAGGAAAATGGGGTTTGTGAGGGGGGAAAATGGGGTTTGTGAGGGGAAAGTGGGGTTTGTGAGGGGAAAATGGGGTTTGTGAGGGGAAAATGGAGTTTGTGAGGGTAAAAGTGGGGTTTGTGAGGGGAAAATGGGGTTTGAGAGGGGAGAAATGGGGTTTGTGAGTGAAAAAATGGGGTTTTGAGGGGGAGAAATGGGGATTGTGAAGGGGGAAATCGGTTTTCTGAGGGTGAAAGTGGGGTTTGTGAGGGGAAAATGGGGTCTGTGAGGGGAAAATGGGTTTGTAGGGATAAAAGTGGGGATTGTGAGGGGGAAATGGGGTCTGTGAGGGAAAAAGTGGGGTCTGTGATGGGAAAATGGGGTTTGTGAGGGGGGAATTGGGTTTGTGAGAGGGGAAAGTGGGGTCTGTGAGGGGAAAATGGGGTTTGTAGGGATAAAAATGGGGTTTGTGAGAGGGAAAGTGGGGTTTGTGAGGGGAAAATGGGGATCATGAGGGGAAAATGGGGATCCTGAGAGGAAAATGGGGTTTGTGAGGGATGTCCTGAGGGGAAAATGGGGTCCTGTGTGCTGTCAGCAGGAGTGTGAGGGGAAAATTGGGGTCCCTGAGGGCAAAATTGGGTTCCATGAGGGGAAAATTTGGGTCCCGAGGCATTTTGGGGGTCCCTGAGGGCACCTTTCTGAATTTGGGGACATTGAATTTTGGGGTACCTGGGGTGGGAGGACAAGGACCCCCCCGTGACCCCCAAATCCGCTCCCAGATCCCGGCAGGAGAAGGAAAAAGCGCAAAAAGGACAAAAAACCCAAAGCACCCCCAAGGTGAGGGGGGGGCTCAGCGGGGTCACGACCCTCACCCAGATTTGGGGGGGGGGACACACGAGCAGAGCCCCATTTAGGGGTGTGGGGGGGGGACATTCCGAGCCGCCCCTCCCCCTCCAGGGCTATTTTTAGCCCCGCGGGCCGGGGGCCATTGAGGTCATTTCTATTTTGGGGGGTGATGGCCCAGAATGCCCCGCACCTGCCCCCCCCCCCCAGCTCGGGGGGGCTCTGGGACCTCCCAGCGCCCCCCTGGGACCATTCCCGGCTCCTCTGCCGCTCTGGGACCACCCTGGGACCCCCCCCCAGCATGGGGGAGACCCCCGGAGGGACCAGGTATGGGGGGCAGAGAGGAGACCCCTGAAAATTCCTGATTTTGGGGAGAGGGAAGAGAGGAGACCCCCAAAGGGATGAGATTTTGGGGAGGGGGACAGAGAGGAGACCCGAGAAAAATTCCAGATTTTGGGGAGAGGGTGGTAGAGAGGAGACCCCTGAAAATTCCAGAATTTGGGGAGGGGGTGGCAGAGAGGAGACCCCCAAAGGGACGAGATTTTGGGGAGGGGGATGGCAGAGAGGAGACCCCTGAAAATTCAAAATTTTGGGGAGGGGGTGGCAGAGAGGAGACCCCCAAAGGGACGAGATTTTTTGGGGTGGGGCAGAGAGGAGACCCCTGAAAATTCCAGATTTTGGGGAGAGCGTGGCAGTGAGGAGACCCCCAAAGGGACGAGATTTTGGGGAGAGGGTGGCAGAGAGGAGACCCCTGAAAATTCAAAATTTTGGGGAGGGGGTGGCAGTGAGGAGACCCCTGAACATTCCCGATTTTGGGGAGGGGGTTCAGAGGCGGGGTCTCCTGGGCGCTGGGGGTTGGTGCCCCCCCCCACGGGGGGGTCCCAGCTTTGCTGTCCCCCCCCCAGGACCCCCAGCCCCCCCGGCCAGGTGTCCCCAGACCCCCCCCCGGCGCCGCCATCGCTCTCGGAGCCGCTGCTGGGCTCCGACGAGGGGGAGCAGGAGGACCCCCGGGATTACTGCAAAGGTGGGGACACCCCGCTCCTTTGGGGGGTGTTCTGGGGGGGGGGTCCCCAACCCCCAGGGTGACATTTCCCCCCCCCGCGCCCCCTCCCCAGGGGGGTATTACCCGGTTCGGATCGGGGACCTTTTCCACGGGCGCTACCACGTGGTTCGCAAGCTGGGCTGGGGACATTTCTCCACCGTGTGGCTCTGCTGGGACCTCCGGTGAGCGCGGGGGCACCGCGGGGGGCTCGGGGAGGGGTCCTGGGGGGGTCCCCTGAAATTCCGGCGGGGGTCCCCTCTGTTTGTCTCGGCCTCCCCGCGCAGGAGGAAACGATTCGTGGCGCTGAAGGTGGTGAAAAGCGCCCCCCAATACACGGAGACGGCGCTGGATGAGATCAAGCTGCTGAAATGTGTGAGTGCCCCCCGGCCCCCCCACACCGGGGACCCCCAAATCCACCGCCGTGACCCCCCCGTGCCCCCCCCAGGTGCGGGATTCAGACCCCAGCGACCCCAACCGGGAGAACATCGTGCAGCTCATCGACGACTTCAAAATCTCGGGGGTCAACGGTGTCCGTATCCTTTTTGGGGGGCTCTGAGGGGGGGTACCCCGAGTTTCCCACCCCGTGGGGGGGGTCCCAGGGGTCTGGGGGCTCCTTGACTGCCCCCCCCCCCAGATGTGTGCATGGTGCTGGAGGTGCTGGGGCACCAACTGCTGCGCTGGATCATCAAATCCAACTACCAGGGGCTGCCCCTGCCCTGCGTCAAGAGCATCGTCCGGCAGGTCAGGGGCTCCCCAAATCCCTCCTGGGACCCCAAATGTGCTGCCAGAGACCCCCAAATCCCTCCTGGGACCCCAAATGTGCTGCAGAGACCCCCAAATCCCCCCAAATCCCTCCTGGGACCCCAAATGTGCTGCCAGAGACCCCCAAATCCCCCCAAATCCCTCCTGGGACCCCAAATGTGCTGCACAGAGACCCCCAAATCCCTCCTGGGACCGCCCCAAATCCCTCCTGGGACCGCCAAATGTGCTGCCAGAGACCCCCACATCCCTCCTGGGACCCCAAATGTGCTGCCCCGACCCCCAAATCCCTCCTGGGACCCCAAATGTGCTGCACAGAGCTCCCCAAATCCCTCCTGGGACCCCAAATTTGCTGCCAGAGACCCCCAAATCCTCCTGGGGCCCCCAAATGTGCTGCCAGAGACCCCCAATCCCTCCTGGGACCCCAAATGTGCTGGCAGAGACCCCCAATCCTCCTGGGACCCCAAATGTGCTGGCCAGAGACCCCCAAACCCCCCCAAATCCCTCCTGGGACCCCAAATGTGCTGCACAGACCCCCCCAAATCCCTCCTGGGACCCCAAATGTGCTGCCAGAGACCCCCAAAATCCTCCCAAATCCCTCCTGGGACCCCAAATGTGCTGGCAGAGACCCCCAAATCCTCCTGGGACCCCAAATGTGCTGCCAGAGCCCCCCAAAGCCCCCCAAATCCCTCCTGGGACCCCAAATGTGCTGCCAGAGACCCCCAAATCCCCCCAAATCCCTCCTGGGACCCCAAATGTGCTGCCAGAGACCCCCAAATCCCTCCTGGGACCCCAAATGTGCTGCACAGACCCCCAAATCCCTCCTGGGACACCAAATGTGCTGCCAGAGACCCCCAAATCCCTCCTGGGACCCAAATGTGCTGCCAGAGACCCCCAAATCCCTCCTGGGACCCCAAATGTGCTGCAGGGACCCCCAAATCCCTCCTGGGACCCAAATGTGCCTGCCAGAGACCCCAAAAACCCCCCAAATCCCTCCTGGGACCCCAAATGTGCTGCCAGAGACCCCCAAATCCCCCCAAATCCCTCCTGGGACCTCAAATGTGCTGCACAGAGACCCCCAAATCCCTCCTGGGACCCCAAATGTGCTGCCAGAGACCCACAAATCCCTCCTGGGACCCCAAATGTTGCTGCCAGAGACCCCCAAATTCCCCAAAATCCCTCCTGGGACCCCAAATGTGGCTGCAGAGAGACCCCCCAAACCTCCCCAAATCCCTCCTGGGACCCCAAATGTGCTGCCAGAGACCCCCAGATCCCTCCTGGGACCCCAAATGTGCTGCCAGAGACCCCCAAATCCCCCCAAATCCCTCCTGGGACCCCAAATGTGCTGCCAGAGACCCCCAAGACCTCCCCAAATCCCTCCTGGACCCCAAAATGTGCTGCAGAGACCCCCAAATCCCCCAAAATCCCTCCTGGGACCCCAAATGTGCTGCACAGAGACCCCCAAATCCCTCCTGGGACCCCAAATGTGCTGCCAGAGACCCCCAAATCCCTCCTGGGACCCCAAATGTGCTGCCAGAGACCCCCAGATCCCTCCTGGGACCCCAAATGTGCTGCCCAGAGACCCCCAAATCCCTCCTGGGACCCCAAATGTGCTGCCAGAGACCCCCAAATCCCCCAAAATCCTCCTGGGACCCCAAATGTGCTGCAGAGACCCCCAAATCCCTCCAAATCCCTCCTGGGACCCCAAATGTGGCTGCCAGAGACCCCAATCCCCCCAAATCCCCCCTGGGACCCCAAATGTGCTGCCAGAGACCCCCAAATCCTCCTGGGACCCCAAATGTGCTGCCAGAGACCCCCAAATCCTCCTGGATCCCTCCTGGGACCCCAAATGTGCTGCCAGAGACCCCCAATCCCTCCTGGGACCCCAAATGTGCTGCCAGAGACCCCCAAAATTCCCCCAAATCCCTCCTGGGACCCCAAATGTGCTGCACAGAGACCCCCAAATCCCCCCAAATCCCTCCTGGGACCCCAAATGTGCTGCCAGAGACCCCCAAATCCCTCCTGGGACCCCAAATGTGCTGCCAGAGACCCCCAAATCCCTCCTGGGACCCCCCAAATCCCTCCTGGGACCCCAAATGTGCTGGCCAGAGACCCCCAAATCCCTCCTGGGACCCCAAATGTGCTGCCAGAGACCCCCAAATCCCTCCTGGGACCCCCCAAATCCCTCGCTGGGAACCCCAAATGTGCTGCCAGAGACCCCCAAATCCCTCCTGGGACCCCAAATGTGCTGCCAGAGACCCCCAAATCCCTCCTTGGGACCCCAAATGTGCTGCCCAGACCCCCAAATCCTCACATTCCACCCCCTCAGACACCCCCAGCTCCCCAAAATCCCTCAGAGCCCTGCCCAGAATTGGGTTATCCCTCCCCAATCGGGACACCCCCCTAAATTTGAGGGTGCCCCCCAGATTTTGGGGTGCCCCCAGATCCTCATATCTCCCCCTCATGCACCACCTCCCCAAAATTCCCCTCAGAGCTCTCGGGGGGGGGGTTCCCTCCGAGCCCCCTCCCAGAATTGGGTTATCCCTCCCCGATTGGGATGTCCCCCAAAATTTGGGGTGCCCCCCTGGATGTTGGGGTGCCGCAGGTGCTGGAGGGGCTGGATTACCTGCACACCAAGTGCAAGATCATCCACACGGACATCAAGCCCGAGAACGTGCTGCTCTGCGCCCCCCAGCCCTACCTGCGGCACCTGGCGGCGCAGGCGGCGCGCTGGGCACGGGGCGGCGGCGCGCCCCGCGGGGCAGGTACCCCGAAATCTGCCCTGGGGGGTGGGGGTACCCTGAAATCCACACCTGGGGTGGGGCAGGTACCCCGAAATGCACACCTGGGGTTGGGGTACCCCGAAATTCACACCTGAGCTTTAGGGATCCCTAAAATCCATCCCCTGCGGGGAAGGTACCCCGAAATCCACACCTGGGGGGTGGGGGTACCCCGAAATCCTCACCTGGGGGGGCAGGTACCCCGAAATCCACACCTGGGTGGGGCAGGTACCCCGAAATGCACACCTGGGGGGTGGGGGTGCCCCGAAATCCACACCTGGGGGGTGGGGTACCCCGAAATCCACACCTGGGGGGTGGGGTGCCCCGAAATCCACACCTGGGGGGTGGGGTACCCCGAAATCCTCACCTGGGGGGTGGGGTACCCCGAAATCCACACCTGGGGGGGTGGGGGTACCCCGAAATCCTCACCTGGGGGGTGGGGATACCCCAAAATACACCCCCCGCGGGGCAGGTACCCTGAAATGCACACCTGGGAGGGGGCAGGTACCCCTAAATACACACCTGGGGGGGGCAGGTACCCGAAATACACCCCCGCGGGCAGGTACCCGAAATGCACACCTGGGGGGGGGGCAGGTACCCCGAAATGCACACCTGGGGGGTGGGGTACCCCAAAATCCACACCTGGGGTGGGGCAGGTACCCCGAAATCCTCACCTGGGGGCTGGAGGGTACTCCAAAATACACACCTGAGCTTTAGGGATCCCTAAAATCCATCCCCTGTGGGGCAGGTGCCCCAAAATGCTCACCTGGGTTGGGGCAGGTACCCCGAAATCCACACCTGGGGGGTGGGGGTACCCCGAAATGCACACCTGGGGTGGGGGGGGGGTACCCTGAAATCCTCACCTGGGGGGGCAGGTACCCCGAAATGCACACCTGGGGTGGGGGTACCCCGAAATGCTCACCTGGGGGGTGGGGTACCCCAAAATACACACCTGGGGGGTGGGGGTACCCCGAAATGCACACCTGGGGGGTGGGGTACCCCAAAATACACACCTGGGGGGTGGGGGTACCCCAAAATGCACACCTGGGGGGGGCAGGTACCCCGAAATCCACACCTGGGGGGGAGCAGGTACCCCGAAATACACACCTGGGGTGGGGCAGGTACCCCGAAATGCACACCTGGGGTGGGGCAGGTACCCCAAAATCCACACCTGGGGGGTGGGGTACCCCGAAATCCACACCTGGGGGGAGGGGGTATCCCGAAATGCACACCTGGGGGGCGGGGGTACCCCGAAAATCCACACCTGGGGGTGGGGTATCCCAAAATACACACCTGGGGGATGGGGGGGTACCCCGTAATGCACACCTGGGAGGTGGGGTACCCCGAAATACACACCTGGGGGGGGGCAGGTACCCCGAAATACACACCTGGGGGGTGGGGGTACCCCGAAATACATCCCCCGCGGGGCAGGTACCCCAAAATCTGCCCTGGGGGGGTGGGGGTACCCCTAAATACACCCCCCCGCGGGGCAGGTACCCCGAAATCCACACCTGGTGCTGCAGGTACCCTGAAATGCACACCTGGGGTGGGGCAGGTACCCCGAAATGCACACCTGAGCTTTAGGGATCCCTAAAATCCATCCCCCGCGGGGCAGGTACCCCAAAATGCACACCTGGGGGGCGGGGGTACCCCAAAATACACACCTGGGGGGCGGGGTACCCCGAAATGCACACCTGGGGGGGTGGGGGTACCCCAAAATCCACACCTGGGGGGTGGGTACCCCGAAATCCACACCTGGGGGGTGGGTACCCCAAAATCCACACCTGGGGGGTGGGGTACCCCGAAATGCACACCTGGGGGGGGCAGGTACCCGAAATCCTCACCTGGGGGGGGGCAGGGACCCCAAAATCCACACCTGGGGGGTGGGGTACCCCGAAATCCACACCTGGAGTGGGGGTACCCCGAAATGCACACCTGGGGTGGGGCAGGTACCCCGAAATCCACACCGGGGGTGGGGCAGGTACCCCAAAATCCTCACCTGGGGGGCGGGGGTACCCCGAAATCCACACCTGGGGGAGCGGGGTACCCCGAAATCCTCACCTGGGGGGCGGGGGTACCCCGAAATCCACACCTGAGCTTTAGGGATTCCTAAAATCCATCCCCCGCGGGGCAGGTACCCCGAAATGCACACCTGGGGTGGGGCAGGTACCCCGAAATGCACACCTGAGCTGGGGCAGGTACCCCGAAATCCACACCTGGGGGGTGGGGGTACCCCGAAATGCACACCTGGGGGGTGGGGGTACCCCGAAATCCACACCTGGGGTGGGGCAGGTATCCCGAAATCCACACCTGGGGGGTGGGGGTACCCCGAAATCCCAACCTGGGGTGGGGCAGGTACCCCGAAATACACACCTGGGGGGTGGGGGTACCCCTAAATACACACCTGAGCTTTAGGGATCCCTAAAATCCATCCCCCACGGGGCAGGTACCCCGAAATGCACACCTGGGGGGTGGGGGTACCCCGAGATCCACACCTGGGGGGTGGGGTACCCCCGAAATACACCCCCCGTGGGGCAGGTACCCCGAAATCCACACCTGGGGGGGGGTTAGGGATCCCTAAAATCTGACCCCCCCACTCCTGTCTGTCCACAGTGAGCTCGGCACCCCAGGAGGAACCTGTGAGTGTGACTGCACACCTGTGTGATTGCACACCTGTGTGTGTGTATCATTGCACACCTGTGTGTGTGTATCATTGCACACCTGTATGTGTGACTGCACACCTGTGTGATTGCACACCTGTGTGTGTGTGTGTTCTCACCTGTGTCACTGCACACCTGTGTGTGTGTGTGTTCTCAACCTGTGTGTGTGTGCTCACCTGTGTGTGTCACTGCACACCTGTGTCATTGCACACCTGTGTGTGTGTGTGTTCTCACCTGTGTGACTGCACACCTGTGTCACTGCACACCTGTGTGCCCTCACCTGTGTGTGCCCTCACACCTGAGCATGCTCACGCTGTGTGCCCCCGCATGCTTTTGCACACCTGTCTCCCCTTTACCCCCCAAAATCAAAGCGCCCACCCCGCCCATTCCCCCCAAAATCGATAGAATCCCCCCAAAATCGAGAGAATCCCCCCAAAATCCCTCCCTGCCCCCCAGGAGCGGCTGTCCCGGGACTCCCCAAAAACCGGGGAAATCCCCCCAAAATCCCTATTCCCCCCCCAGGAGCGGCTGTCCCGGGGCTCCCCAATCCCGGGACTCCCAAAACCGGGGAAATCCCCCCAAAATCCCCATTCCCCCCCAGGAGCGGCTGTCCCGGGACTCCCCAATGCCGGGACTCCCCAATCCCGGGACTCCCCAAAACCGGGGAAATCCCCCCAAAATCCCTCCCCCCCCCCCAGGAGCGGCTGTCCCGGGACTCCCCAATCCCGGGACTCCCCAAAACCGGGGAAATCCCCCCAAAATCCCTCTCCCCCCCCAGGAGCGGCTGTCCCGGGACTCCCCAATCCCGGGACTCCCCAAAACCGGGGAAATCCCCCCAAAATCCCCCCCCCCCCCCCCAGGAGCGGCTGTCCCGGGACTCCCCAATCCCGGGACTCCCCAAAACCGAGAGAATCCCCCCAAAATCCGTATTTTCCCCCCCAGGAGCGGCTGTCCCGGGACTCCCCAATCCCGGGACTCCCCAAAACCGGGGAAATCCCCCCAAAATCCCTCCCCCCCCCCAGGAGCGGCTGTCCCGGGGCTCCCCAATCCCGGGACTCCCCAAAACCGGGGAAATCCCCCCAAAATCCCTCTCCCCCCCCAGGAGCGGCTGTCCCGGGCCCAGCGGCGCCGGCGGCGGCGGCGGCAGCGGCGGCAGCGGCGGCTCCTGGCGGAGCGGCTGCGGGAGCTGGAGCAGGACACGGCGGGGACGGGCAGCGACACCGGTCAGTGACACCGGGGGGACACCGGGGGGACACCGGGGGGACACCGGGGGGACAGTGGGGACACGGGTCAGTGACACGGGTCAGTGACACCGGGGGGACACCGGGGGGGACACCAGGGACACGGGTCAGTGACACCGGGGGGACACCGGGGACAGGCAGGGGCATCAGGGGGACACCGGGGGGACAGTGGGGACACCGGTCAGTGTGGGGGGGACACCGGGGGGACAGGCAGCGACACGGGTCAGTGACACTGGGGGGACAGTGGCGACACGGGTCAGTGACACCGGGGGGGACACCAGGGACACGGGTCAGTGACACCAGGGGGACACCGGAGGTGACACTGGGGACACCAGTCAGTGCCAGGAGGGGACACCCAGGGACAGGTGGGGACACCGGTCAGTGTGGGGGGACACCGGGGAGGACACCAGGGACACTGGTCAGTGACACGGGTCAGTGACACCGGGGGGACACCGGGGACAGGCAGGGACACCGGTCAGTGACAGAGGACACTGGGGGTGACACCGGGGACACCGGTCAGTGCTGGGAGGGGACACCGGGGACAGCTGGGGACACTGGTCAGTGACAGGGGACACCAGAGGTGACACTGGGGACACTGGTCAGTGCTGGGAGGGGACACCGGGGACAGCTGGGGACACCGGTCAGTGTGGGGAGACACCGGGGGGGACACCAGGGACAGGCAGTGACACGGGTCAGTGACACCAGGGGGACACCGGGGACAGGTGGAGACACGGGTCAGTGACACCGGGGGGACACTGGGGACAGCTGGGGACACGGGTCAGTAACACCGGGGACACGGGGGACAGCTGGGGACAGCTGGGGACACGGGTCAGGGACACGGGTCAGTGACACCGGGGGGACACCGGGGACAGGTGGGGACACCAGGGACAGGTGGGGACACGGGTCAGTGACACCGGGGGGGGCACTGGAGGGACAGTGGGGACAGGCAGTGACACCGGGGGGACACCAGGGACAGGCAGGGACACTTGTCAGTGACACCGGGGGGACACCGGGGGGACACCGGGGGGACACTGGGGACATGCAGCAACACCGGGGACAGGCAGGGACACCGGTCAGTGACACCGGGGACACCGGAGGTGACACCAGGGACACTGGTCAGTGCTGGGAGGGGACACCAGGGACAGCTGGGGACACCGGGTCAGTGTGGGGGGACACCGGGGGGGACACCAGGGAACAGGTGGGGACACGGGTCAGTGACACCGGGGGGACACCGGGGGGACACCGGGGACAGGCAGTGACACCAAAGATAAATTGGCGTCCCCAGGGTGGGTTTGAGGTCCCCATGGTGGGGTGGGGGGAGCCCCAAAGATAAATTGGGGTCCCCAGGTTGTGTTTGGGGTCCCCAGGGTGAGTTTGGGGTCCCTGGGTTGTGTTTGGGGTCCCCAGGGTGAGTTTGGGGTCCCCAGGGTGAGTTTGGGGTCCCCAGGTTGTGTTTGGGGTCCCCAGGGTGGGTTTGGGGTCCCCAGGGTGAGTTTGGGGTCCCTGGGTTGAGTCTGGGGTCCCCAGGGTGGCGCTGGACCTTGCTGGGGTGAGCAGGACCCCCAAGAACAATTTGAGGGTCTCTGGGGTCGGTTTTGGGGTCCCTCGTCCTGTTTTGGGGGAGCCCCACGAGCCTTTGGGGCTCCAGACATATTCGGGGTGGGGGGGGGGGGTTTTGGGGACCACCTGTGAGATTTTGGGGTGATTCGGGATGATTTGGGGATGATTTGGGGAGGGGTCTCAGGCTCTGTTTCCCTCTTGCAGAAGCCCCCCCGGACCCCCCGGAGGAGTTGGGGGGCAGCCCCCCGAGCGGGGCCTCGTCCTCGGGGGTGCACACGCTGCCGCGGGGGGCGGCTCCAGCGACGGCTTTTCGGGGGGCTCCGGCGCCTCCCGGGGACCCCCCCGGCGCCCCCCCAGCCCCAGCTCGGCCTCGACTCGCTCTTCCCCCCCACCTCGGGCTCCCTCATCTCGGGGGGCTCCGAGGGGCTCCCCAACCCCCCGGGTCAGTGGGGGGGGTCTGGGGGGAAATTTGGGGGTTTGGGGGGAAATTTGGGGGGTGGGGGGGTTTGGGGGAAATTTGGGGGTTTGGGGGGGAATTTGGGGGGTGGGGGGGTTTGGGGGGAAATTTGGGGGTTGGGGGGGAAATTTGGGGGTCTGGGGGGAAATTTGGGGGTCTGGGGGGAAATTTGAGGGTTTGGGGGGAAAATTTGGGGGTTGGGGGGGAGTTTGGGGGTTGGGGAGAGGTTTGGGGGGAAATTTGGGGGTTGGGGGGGGGGGTTGGGGGGAAATTTGGGGGGAAATTTGGGGTTGGGGGGGTCTAGAGGGGAATATTTGGGGTGGATTTGGGGTTGGGGGGGGTTTGGGGGGAAATGTGGGGGTTGGGGGGGGTCTGGGGGGAATTTGGGGGTTGGGGGGGGTCTGGGGGGGAATTTTGGGGTTGGGGGGGGTCTGGGGGGAAATTTGGGGGTGGGGGTTATAGAGGGGGGGCAATTTGGGGTGGATTTGGGGTTCTGGGGGGAGTTTGGGGGGAAATTTGGGGTTGGGGGGGGTTTTGGGGGAAAATTTGGGGTTGGGGGGTGTAGGGGGGGAAATTTGGGGGTTGGGGGTGTAGGGGGGGAAATTTGGGGGTGGGGGGGTCTGGGGGGAAATTTGGGGTTGGGGGGGGTTTGGGGGGGGTCTGGGGGGGAAATTTGGGGGTTGGAAGGGGGTTTGGGGGAAATTTGGGGATTTGGGGGGATTTGGGGGGAAATTTGGGGGTTGGGGTGTGTAGGGGGGAAATTTGGGGTTTGGGGGTGGGTTTGGGGGGGAATTTTGGGTTGGATTTTGGGGGATTTTTGGGGGTTTTGGGGGTCAGGGGGATGGGGGGGCCATTTGGGGTTGGGGTGGAAATGGGGGTGTGGGGGCACTGGGGGGCACTGGGGGGCACTGGGGGGCACTGGGGGGGCACTGGGGGGCACTGGGGGGCACTGGGGGCACTGGGGGGCACTGGGGGGCACTGGGGGGGTACTGGGGGGCACTGGGGGGGCACTGGGGGGCACTGGGGGGCACTGGGGGGGGCACTGGGGTGGTACTGGGGGGCACTGGGGGGGCACTGGGGTGGTACTGGGGTGCCCAGGTGTGCCCCCAACGCCCCCAATGCCCCCTCCAGGTGAGGGGGGGCTGCCGGGGGGGCAGGAGAACCCCCTGGACCCCCGCGCTGCCCCACGGCTGCGGGTCAAAATCGCCGACCTGGGCAACGGCTGCTGGGTGGTGAGAGGGACTGGGGGAACTGGGGGGAACTGGAGGGACTGGGAGGGAACTGGGAGGGACTGGGAGGGACTGGGAGGGACTGGGAGGGACTGGGAGGGGAACTGGGAGGGAACTGGGAGGGACTGGGAGGGGAACTGGGAGGGAACTGGGAGGGACTGGGAGGGAACTGGGAGGGACTGGGAGGGAACTGGGAGCACTGGGACTGGGAGGACTGGGAGGGACTGGGGGGGACTGGGAGGGACTGGGAGGGACTGGGAGGGACTGGGGGGAACTGGGGGGGGACTGGGGGAACTGGGGGGGACTGGGGGCTGGGGGGGACTGGGAGGGACTGGGGGAACTGGGAGGGACTGGGGGAACTGGGAGAGAACTGGGAGGGACTGGGGGGACTGGGGGTACTGGGAGGGAAATGGGGGGAACTGGGAGGGAAATGGGGGGAACTGGGGGAACTGGGAGGGAAATGAGGGGACTGGGGGGATGGAGGGACTGGGGAACTGGGAGGGACTGGGGCGTTACTGGGGGGGGTGACTGGGAGTGAGGTTTTGGGGGTCTGGGGGTGTTCCTGTGGGTGTGTGGGGGTGGTGCGGGGCCGGGGGGCTCTGGGGCCGTCCGTGGGTCTGGGGGTGACCCCCCGTGCCCCCCGTGCCCCCCCGTGCCCCCCGTGCCCCCCGTGCCCCCCGTGCCCCCCGTGCCCCCCGTGCCCCCCGTGCCCCCCGTGCCCCCCGTGCCCCCCCGTGCCCCCATGCCCCCCGTGCCCCCGTACCCCCGTGCCCCCCGTTGCCCCCCCCCGTGCCCCCAGCACAGACACTTCACCGAGGTACATCCAGACGCGGCAGTACCGGGCCCTGGAGGTGCTGCTGGGGGCGGGTACGGCCCCCCCGCCGACATCTGGGAGCACGGCCTGCATGGTGAGGGGCTGGGGGGACCCCCGGGTGGGGCTGGTGGGACCCCCGGGTGGGCTGGTGGGAACCCCGGGTGGGGCTGGTGGGGACCCCGGGTGGGGCTGCTGGGACCCCGGGGTGGGGAGGGGCTCTGATGGACCCCAGGGTGGGGAGGGGTCTCTGATGGACCCCAGGGGTGGGGAGGGGTCTCTGATGGACCCCTGGGGGTGGGGAGGGGCTGCTGGGGACCCCGGGGTGGGGAGGGGTCTCTGATGGACCCCCGGGGGTGGGGAGGGGTCTCTGATGGACCCCGGGGTGGGGAGGGGTCTCTGATGGACCCCCGGGGTGGGGAGGGGTCTCTGATGGACCCCCGGGTGGGAGGGCTTGCTGGGGACCCCCGGGGTGGGGAGGGGTCTCTGATGGAACCTGGGAGTGGGGAAGGGGTCTCTGATGGACCTGGGGTGGGGAGGGGTCTCTGATGGACCCCGGGGTGGGGAAGGGCTGCTGGGGACCCCCGGTGGGGCTGCTGGGGACCCCCTGGGGTGGGGAGGGGGCTGGATGGGACCCCGGGTGGGGAGGGGTCTCTGATGGACCACGGGGTGGGGAGGGGCTCTGATGGACCCCCGGGGTGGGGAGGGGGCTTCTGATGGACCCCAGAGTGGGGAGGGGTCTCTGATGGACCCTGGGGGTGCAGGGGGGGTCTCTGATGGAGCCCTGGGGGTGGGGAGGGGGCTATGATGGACCCCTGGGGTGGGGCTGGTGGGACCCCCGGGGTGGGGAGGGGTCTGCATGGGACCCCCGGGTGGGGAGGGGCTGACCTGGGAGTGGGGAGGGGTCTGCATGGGACCCCCAGGGTGGGGAGGGGTCTCTGATGGACCCCAGAGTGGGGAGGGGTCTCTGATGGACCCCTGGGGGTGGGGAGGGGTCTCTGATGGATTCCCGGGTGGGGAGGGGTCTCTGACAGACCCCTGGGGGTGGGGAGGGGTCTCTGATGGATTCCCGGGTGGGGAGGGGTCTCTGATGGACCCCCGGGGGTGCGGGGGGGGGTCTCTGATGGACCCGGGGGTGGGGAGGGGTCTCTGATGGACCCCTGGGGGTGGGGAGGGGTCTCCCAGCCCCCCCTGACCCCCATCTCTGACCCCCAGGCGTTCGAGCTGGCCACGGGCGATTACCTGTTCGAGCCCCACTCGGGGGAGGAGTACAGCCGCGACGAGGGTGGGCGGGGCCTGGGGGTGGGCGGGGCCTTGGGAGGGGATGGGCGGGGTCTCGGTGGGTGTGGCCACAGATGGGTGTGGTTTCGGGGATGGGTGTGGCCATGAAGTGGGTGTGTCCTCAGGGATGGGTGTGGTTTCTGGGATGGGTGTGGCTTCAGGGTTGGGTGTGGCCATGAAGTGGGTGTGGCCTCAGGGATGGGCGTGTCCTTGGTGGGTGTGGCCTCAAGGGTGGGTGTGGTTTCTGAGATGGGTGTGGCTAAGGGGATGGGCGTGGCCATGGAATGGGTGTGGCTTCAGGGTTGGGTGTGGCCATGAAGTGGGTGTGTCCTTGGTGGGTGTGGCCTCAGGGATGGGTGTGGCCATGGGATGGGTGTGGTTTCTGGGATGGGTGTGGCTAAGGGGATGGGCGTGGCCGGGATGGGCGTGTCTGACCCGCCCCGCCCCGCAGACCACATCGCGCACGTGATCGAGCTGCTGGGGGAGATCCCGCGGCACGTGGCCCTCGGGGGGCGCTACTCCCGCGAGTTCTTCAACCGGAGAGGTGAGGGCGGGGCCGCTGGGCGTGGCCGCTGGGCGGGGCCAGGGGTGGGTGTGGCCAAGTTAAGTGGTGGTGGCACAAGGTGGGGTTATGCAAATGAGGAGGTGGGGTGGTTTAATACCCGGGGGGGTGTGGCCATCGGAAAGGGGGCGTGGCTTGAGCTCAGCGGGGTTGTGAGGCGGGGAGGGGGCGGGGTTTGTCCACTCATAGCCCCGCCCACGAGGGGAGGGGCGTGGCCTGAGTATTCCTTATAATGGGGCGGGGCACATCGGGATTGGGGCGTGGCCTGACCACACCCTTAATAAGAGGCGGGGCCACATTGGGATTGGGGCGTGTCCTGACCACACCCTTAATAAGGGGCGGGGTCACATCGGGATTGGGGCGTGGCCTGACCACACCCATCATAAAGGGGCGTGTCCTGACCACACCCTCACAAGGGGCGGGGCCACGTCGGGATTGGGGCGTGGCCTGACCACACCCTTAATAAGGGGTGGGGCCACAGCGGGATTGGGGCGTGGCCTGACCACACCCTTTAAAAGGGGCGGAGCCACATCGGGATTGGGGCGTGGCCTGACCACACCCCTCATAAGGGGCGGGGCCACAGCGGGATTGGGGCGTGGCCTGACCACACCCCTCATAAGGGGCGGGGCCACGTAAGAATTGGGGCGTGGCCTGACCACACCCCTCATAAGGGGCGGGGCCACATCGGGATTGGGGCGTGTCCTGACCACACCCTCAATAAGGGGCGGGGCCACGTAAGAATTGGGGCGTGTCCCGCTGGCCCCGCCCCTGAGCCCGCCCCCCCGCAGGTGAGCTGCGGCACATCCGGCACCTGCGGCCGTGGGGGCTGCGGGCGGTGCTGCAGGAGAAGTACGAGTGGCCGCGGGGGCCGGCGGCCGCCTTCGCGCATTTCCTGCGGCCCATGCTGGCCTTCGAGCCTGCGCGCCGCGCCACCGCCCGCCAGTGCCTGCAGCACCCCTGGCTCCGCCCCTAGCCCCGCCCACCGCCACGCCCACCGCCCCAATAAACCACGGGGGAGCAGCGCCGCAACGCCGGTCCTGGGGTCTTTATTGGGGGTCTGGGGGGGTTTATGGGGGGTCGGGAGGGGTCCTGGGGTGTTTATTGGGGTCTGGGGGGGTTTATGGGGTGTTCATTGGGGTCCTGTGGAGGGTCCTGGGGTGTTTATTGGGGGTCTGGAGGGGTCCTGGGGTGGTTATTGGGGTCCTGGGGTGGTTATTGGTGTCTGGGGGGGTTTATTGGGGGTCTGGGGGGGTCCTGGGGTGTTTATTGGGGGTCTGGGGGGGTCCTGGGGTGTTTATTGGGGGTCTGGGGGGGGTCCTGGGGTGTTTATTTGGGTTTTGTGGGGGCATCCTGGTGGTTTTGTGGAGAGTTTGGGGGGTTTGGGGGGTCCTGGTGGTCCTTTGGGGGAATTTGGTGGGTTCCTGGTGGACTTGGGGTGTTCATTGGGGGTTTTTGGGTGCTCCTGGTGGTCCTGTGGGGGGTGTGGGGGACTCCCAGTGGTCCTGTGGGGGGTGTGGGGGGCTCCCAGTGGTCCTGTGGGGGGGTTGCTGGTGGTCCTGGTGTGTTTATTTGGGTCCTGTGGGGGAATTTGGGGCGCTCCTGGTGGTCCTGGGGGGGAATTTGGGGTGCTCCTGGTGGTCCTGGGGGGGAATTTGGGGCGCTCCTGGTGGTCCTGTGGAGGGTTTGGGGGGCTCCTGGTGGTCCTGGGGTGTTTTTTGGGGTCCTGGGGTGGAATTTGGGGCGCTCCTGGTGGGACAGTGGAGTGTCCTGTGGTCCTGAGCTGTGCTGGGGGGGTCCCGGAGATGGTTTTGGGGTCCATGGAGGGGGTCCCAGAGCAGTTTTGGGGTCCTGAAAGGGGGTCCCAGAGCAGTTTTGTGGTCCTGAGCTGTGTTGGGGTCCCTTGGGGTGCATCGTGGTCCTGGGGGTGCTTTGGGGTGCAGGGGTGTCAGCTGTGTGGTCCTGGGGATATTTTAGGGGTGTTTTGGGGGTGTTTGGGGGTCCCGGGGGTGTTTTGGGGGTATTTTGGGTGTCCCGGGGGTGTTTTGGGGGTATTTTGGGTGTCCCGGGGGTGTTTCGGGGGTATTTTGGGGGTCCCGGGGCCGTTTTGGGGGTGTTTTGGGGGGTGTTTTGGGGGTGTTTCGGGGGTATTTTGGGGGTCCCGGGGTATTTTAGGGGTATTTTAGGGGTGTTTGGGGGTGTTTTGGGGCTGTTCTGGGGGTCCCGGGGCCGTTTGGGGGCTCAGCCCCGCGGCAGGTGCCCGATGATGCTCTGCACCGCGCCCGACGTCGTGCCCTGGCCCCCGATATCCGGCGTGTGCGTCTGGGGGCGGGGCCACGTCAGCGCCACGCCCGCGGAGGAGGCGTGGCCACATTTGCATGTCGGTGGCCACGCCCCTCGGCCAGGTGAGGGGGGCGGGGCTTACCCGGGGGTCGTCCAGCGAGGCCAACACGGCCTGGCGGATGGTGGAGGCGTGGCCGTGCAGCCTGGGGGCGGGGCAAAGGGGGCCACGCCCACATCAGCGGGACACGCCCACCCAGCCCCACCCATGGGATCCGCCCAGTGAGGCCACGCCCCTTCTCAGCCACACCCATCTTAGCCCCTCCCACTGGGGAAATCACACCCCTTTTTAAATTTCCATTTTTTGGGGACCCCTCCCGGTAAGCCCCGCCCCCTCCCGTTTAGCCCCTCCCCCTCCCGTTCAGCCCCGCCTCTCCCGGTAAGCCCCGCCCCTCCCGGTAAGGCCCACCTCCTCCCGGTAAGCCCCGCCCCCTTTCCGGTAAGCCCCTCCCGCTCCCGGTAAGCCCCACCCCTTCCTGGTAAGCCCCGCCCCCTCCCGGTAAACCCCGCCCCTCCCGGTAAGCCCCCCCCCTCCCGGTTAGCCCCACCCACTCCCGTTAAGTCCCGCCCCCTTTCCGGTAAACCCCTCCCCCTCCCGGTAAGCCCCTCCCGGTAAGCCCCGCCCCCTTTCCAGTAAGCCCCTTCCCCTCCCGTTCAGCCCCGCCCCTTCCCGGTAAGCCCCACCCCTCCCATTAAGCCCCGCCCCTCCCGGTAGCCCCGCCCACTCCCGGTAAGCCCCACCCCGGTTAGCCCCTCCCCCTCCCGGTAGCCCCGCCCACCGGAGGTGGTCCAGCATCATGCAGGTGACCCCGCCCCCTCCCGTTTAGCCCCGCCCCCGCAGCAAGCCCCGCCCACCGGAGGTGGTCCAGCATCATGCAGGTGACCCCGCCCCTCCCGTTTAGCCCCGCCCCTCCCGGTAAGCCCCTCCCCCTCCCGTTAAGCCCCGCCCCCGCAGCAAGCCCCGCCCACCGGAGGTGGTCCAGCATCATGCACGCCGCCAGCAGCGCCGCCGTGGGGTTGGCGATGTTGCGGTTGGCGATGCTCTTGCCCGTGTTCCGCGTGGCCTGGGGGGCGCCGGCCGCTGAGACCCCCCAGTGACCCCCCAGTGACCCCCCAGTGACCCCCCAGTAACCTCCCAGTGACCTCCCAGTGCTCCCAGTGACCCCCAGTGACCCCTCAGAGACCCCCAGTGACCCCCCAGTGACCTCCCAGTGACCCCCCAGTGCTCCCCCAGTGACCCCCCAGTGCTCCCAGTGACCCCCCAGTGACCCCCCAGTGCTCCCAGTAACCTCCCAGTGACCCCCCAGTGCTCCCAGTGACCCCCAGTGCCCCCTCAGTGCTCCCAGTAACCTCCCAGTAACCCCCCAGTGCTCCCCCAGTGCTCCCAGTGACCCCCCAGTGACCCCCCAGTGCTCCCAGTGACCCCCCCAGTGACCCCCCAGTGCTCCCAGTGACCTCCCAGTGCTCCCAGTGACCTCCCAGTGACCCCCCCAGTGACCCCCCAGTGCTCCCAGTGACCCCCCATTTCCCCCCCAGCCCCCCGATGTCCCCCCCAGGACCCCCATTTCCCCCCGATGTCCCCCCCAGACCCCCCATTTCCCCCCCAGGACCCCCATTTCCCCCCCAGGACCCCCCAATCTCCCCCCCAGACCCCCGATTTCCCCCCCAGACCCCCCCATTTCCCCCCCAGGACCCCCATTTTCCCCCCAGACCCCCCCAGGACCCCCATTATCCCCCCAGACCCCCCCAGACCCCCCATTTCCCCCGATTTCCCCCCCAGACCCCCCATTTCCCCCCCAGGCCCCCCATTTCCCCCCAAACCCCTGAAGACCCCCATTTCCCCCCGATTTTCCCCCCAGACCCCCCCAGGACCCCCATTTTTCCCCCCAGACCCCCCCATTTCCCACCCATTTCCCCCCCAGACCCCCCCGATCTCCCCCCCAGACCCCCCATTTCCCCCCCAGGACCCCCCGATTTTCCCCCCAGGACCCCCATTTCCCCCCCAAACCCCTGCAGACCCCCGATTCCCCCCCCAGACCCCCCATTTCCCCCCCAGACCCCCCAATCTCCCCCCAGACCCCTTGATTTCCCCCCCAGACCCCCCGATTTCCCCCCCAGACCCCCCCAGACCCCCGATTTCCCCCCGAGACCCCCCCAGGACCCCCATTTCCCCCCCGATTTCCCCCCCAGACCCCCCCGATTTCCCCCCCAGACCCCCTGATTTCCCCCCCAGACCCCCCGATCTCCCCCCAGACCCCCGATTTCCCCCCCAGGACCCCCATTTTCCCCCCGATTTCCCCCCCAGATGCCCCCAGACCCCCCAATTTCCCCCCCAAACCTCCCGATTCCCCCCCAGACCCCCCAATTTCCCCCCCAGACCCCCCAATCTCCCCCCCAGACCCCCCGATTTCCCCCCATTTCCCCCCCAGACCCCCTGATTTCCCCCCCAAACCCCTGCAGACCCCCCGATTTCCCCCCCAGACCCCCAATTCCCCCCCAGACCCCCCAATCTCCCCCCCAGACCCCCCGATCTCCCCCCAGGACCCCCAATTTCCCCCCAGGACCCCCCAATTTCCCCCCCAGACCCACGGTTTCGAACACGGCGTAGTCGTGGCCGTAGTTGGCGCCGGGCACGAGCCCCGGGCCCCCCACCAGTGCTCCCAGTGCTCCCAGTAACCCCCAATGGTGCCCATCCCTGTGTCCCAACCCCCCCCAACCACCCCAGACCAACCCAAAGCCCCCATTTCCCCCCCAAACCCCCCGATTTCCCCCCAAACCCCCCGATTTCCCCCCCAGACCCCCCCAGACCCCCCGATTTCCCCCCCAGACCCCCCAATTTGCCCCCCAGACCCCTGCAGACCCCCCATTTCCCCCCAGGACCCCCATTTCCCCCCCAATTTCCCCCCAGGACCCCCCGATTTCCCCCCAGGACCCCCATTTTTCCCCCCAGACCCCCCCGATTTCACCCCCAGACCCCCCGGTTTCCCCCCCAGACCCCTAATTTCCCCCCCAAAACCCCCCCAGGACCCCCGATTTCCCCCCAGACCCCCGATCTCCCCCCCAGGACCCCCCGATTCCCCCCCAGACCCCCGATTTCCCCCCCAGACCCCCCCATTTCCCCCCCAGACCCCCGATTTCCCCCCCAGACCCTCCCAGGACCCCCTAATCTCCCCCCCCAGACCCACGGTTTCGAACACGGCGTAGTCGTGGCCGTAGTTGGCGCCGGGCACGAGCCCCGGGCCCCCCACCAGCCCCGCGCAGACGTTGTTGACGATGTTCCCGTACAGGTTCGGCATCACCATCACGTCAAACTGCTGCGGCCGGGACACCAGCTGGGCCGGCCGGGCCATACTGGGGTTACTGGGAGCACTGGGAGCACTGGGAGGGGGTTTTGGGGGGGTTTGGGGGGGTTTGGGGGGGTTTTTGGGGGGTGTTGGGGGGTTTTTGGGGGCCGTACAGGTTCGGCATCACCATCACGTCAAACTGCTGCGGCCGGGACACCAGCTGGGCCATACTGGGGTTACTGGGAGCACTGGGAGCACTGGGGGGGGGTTTTGGGGGGCTTTTGGGGGGTTTTGGGGGGTTTTTGGGGGCTTTTGGGAGGTTTTTGGGGGTTTTTGGTGGCCGTACAGGTTCGGCATCACCATCACGTCAAACTGCTGCGGCCGGGACACCAGCTGGGCCGGCCGGGC